TTGCATTTTTCTTCTTTTTTTTTTTGTTATATACACGTCGATGATATCACAAAGATACCGTTATAAATACAATGAACGAGAAGCCAAACTCGATACGAGTACCATCAAATGTGCCAAAATGCGATCGTACGATATTGTACGGGAACCGTAAACCGAGCTCTAGACCTAATGTAAGAAACGCTCAAATGAAGACAGTGTTTTTTTTATGAAAAAAATAACGGAAATTTTTTATTGAATTCTTTCAGTTTTTCGAAATAAAAAGTAAGAGAATTTTTATATTTTTTTTATATTTTTTTGTTTTCTTTTTTTCTGTTTTCAATAATATTTTAATATTTTCATTTTTTGTTGTTGTTGTTGTTGTTGTGGTTGTTTTTGTTTTTTTGTTTTTTTTTTTTTTAGTAATACAACTTAAAAATTAAATGTAATAATTGATTAATTAATAATGCTTAACGTGTAAGGTTCCGGTTTTAATAATATATTCAGTTTTCATGTTTAATTTAATTACATTTATAGCATTTAATAATTAGTGCTTTTTAATATTGTATAATTTATATATATAATCTTAAATTATAAAATAATAATAATTGTTATTTAAATTATATATAACTTTCTAGTATCTGGTATTTTCTTTTTCCTTTTTTATTTTTTTGTAATATTTTAAACTTTTTTTGTTTTTTGGATAGCATTTAATATTAACGTTTAATTTATAATAGGGTTTTTTTTTCAGTAATCATAATAATAATTTACATTTTTTTTTTTTTTTTGTTTAAATTTTTTTATTTATTTATTTCAATTTATAGAATTACAACGTAGAACTAAATGTATATAGATATATGTATTTATGCATATATATATATATATATATATATATATATATATAGATATACAATATGTGTATATATATATATATATATGATATATATATATGTATTTATAAGTGTGTATATATTACTAGATTACTTTAATTTTATGTTATTTTGTATATTCTAAAATTAAGAAAAGAAAGTTCTGTACATATTTCCTTTTACTAAGATTTAAAATTATGCTTATTGTTTTTTTTTTTTTTTCTTTTGTTTTTCATTTTTTATAATAGAGCGTACTTATTAATTTGGTTAAAAATATTGTTAGAAATTTCATATTTCTTTATTTTAGAACATTTATATTACAATATTAGATAAAAAGAAAAAATAAGAAAAAAAGTGAAACATAAACTTGTTTAATTTTCGTTTTATATGTTAAATAAAGTTTAATAAATGAATAAATGAAATGATAGAGTGAAAAAGTTTTAAGAATTTATCTTAAATTTCAAAATAAATTCTGAGAAGTTTTTCAATCGTTTGAAAAAAAAAAAAAAATGCATAAATAAACAAACTATGTGTGTTGGTCAAATTGAAAATTTGAGGACAGAATTCAATCCAGTTAACTGACGCCAATAATGAGGTATAATAAAAAGAAATGTAAGAGAAAATCTTAAAAAAAAAAAAAAATTAACAATAAGATGTCGAAAATTTCTACAAGTTAAAAGATGTCTAAGATATTATGTAAGAATGGCCGGATTTATGTAAAGCAGCCTTAAAATCTTTCTTCGTTTTATTTATTTATTTATTCATTGTTTTTTTTTTTTTTAAGGATTCGTTAATACGATGCACACAAAGTTTAATGTTTTCTTTTTTTTTTTTTTGTATTTTTACTAAATCATACTTTATTTAATTTGGGAATAAACGGGATGTACATGTATATATATTTTTTGGCTGCTGAGTTTGAGTTGACTGAACCAAAGAGAAACTTGGCTTATATGTCCAAAGGAAAAAAAAAAAAAGGCTAAGTAAAAATAATAATAATAAATAAACAAAAACAAGTTTCGTATATTCGCGAAGGCGAGTTCCCTTTCAATAAATCGTTCTTTTCCATTCGGATATTTTGATTATCCTAATACGGAGGAGAGATAAAAGCATATTTTGAAATTTGATTTCTGAATTGAATTTAAAATAGATTTTGGTTTATTTTCGTTGCTCTTTTATTCTGATTGCTGTTCTTTCAAGTAATCAGCTAGCTTTAGACATACACATCAGAGGTCGTAGTAAACTAATTTTTAATTACTGAGAAACGGAAAAGAAATAAGAAAGAAAAAATGGATTGCAGCATCCCTTAAAGAAATAAACTCTTCAAGTGGAAGTACAAATTCTGAAAGCTGACCGCTGGAACTATCTATTTGTATCTGTTTATTCATTTTGCTTTTTTTAAAATTACTTTTTTGCTATTCAGAAGAGAACAGATAGATATATGTGTATATATAGCTTTTTCAATATTTTCGTTGAATATTAATTGGCATTGTACGAAACTTTCTTAATTAAAAAATTTGCATGCTTTCTGAAAAAAAAGAAACAATCTGCCTAGTATTTATATGTTTATGATAAAGATTAAGTGGATCTTTGATATTCAAAAAGCTTTTACTTTTCAGATGCGTACAATTTTATGATTAATAATCCACTGAATGCGATCTTTATTATATCTTTTATCATTCACTTTAAATCATAATAATGTTAACAAAAAAAAATTCTATTCACTGTAAAGTACTTCTTTGCAATCAGTTACTGGCTAAGCAGAGATTTTCAAATGGTATGTACATTAATCAAATTGAAATCAATAAATAATACCATCAGGATGTATTAGAAGTCAATTTACAATATATAATGGAAGTTACATTCCGGGATCTTTGAAGCATATTTTCGACACTACAAACAAAACGGCAAAGCCCCATTATATTGTGGACACTAAAACAAAGTTCATCTCTGGCATAGTGGCATCGTATTAAGTAACTGTCTTTCAATTACACTTCATGGGCTCGAATTTAGATTAAAAAAAAAAGAAAAAAAAAAAAAAAAACACTTATTGGTTATAATACAGTTAGTTACGTATGTGCCCTTCTGCAACAACGACCAAAAAGCAACAGAGTAATAGTATTTTTTTTTTTTTCTTTTTTGCTCAATCATGTATGATTGGTCTTTGCTAAATGCTTAATGCTTGAAATCTTGAAGGATACGGGATTAGCGGCGTCTAAAGAGAAACTTTTCTTTTGTTTACTACGAGTTATTAATTTTAAAGCTTTCAAAATCGAAAATGGACAAAAGAAAAACTTGTAAGAAAATCAAGACAAAGTTTGCTTGTGTAGAGATTTTGAACTTGCTGTACTAGGATGAAAGTGGACAGAGATGGATAAATGAAGACTTGATTTAAATATCAAGCATTAATATTTCTAGGAAAGTTTTAAAAGTTATAAGAATCCTTACATTTTATTAAAATATCTTATTCAAAAATAAACTACAAATTAAAGCATCTACACGGCTATTATAATGTAACCAAAGGTATTAACTATGGATAAAATGAAAGAAAGAACTGATTTTATTAGAACGCCATTGCTAAAATAGAGAAACGTATTAGTACAAATTTTATTTAAAAAAAAAAAAATGAATAAATACATCCATCCGAAACATATATAAATAAACGGTGGCCGAGGATAGACATAGCGCTTGAGTCGTATGAATAAAATGTGTATATGAGTTTTAATCTGCAAAAGGACTCAATCATCAATCCTTAGATCATCTAATAAATAAAGAAAATCATCGTTGTAGGCAAAGATATTATGCGTAGTTTATGAATATGCTTTATGAGTATTAAACTTTAAATAACATATAAAACTTTTTCTAAAAAAATAATAATAAAGATTCCAAAAACTTTTCAAATTATATATATTATATATATATTTTTTTTTTTTTTTAGTTTCCTCTTTAAAGACAGATATTTTAACTATAGAAAAATTATTATTATTATTATTTTTTTAAATTATTTCCATTAATGGATGGTGGTGTTGGTGGTTTACTATTTTTCATTTGTTAAACTTTTTTTCATTTATCTATACACAAACATTTATTAATATTTTCTTGCTTTACATATTTGAGATCAAAATAATAAATTAGTTAATTTTTTTTACTTTTTTTTTTTTTTGTTTAACATACTTTTTTATTAGATTATAAACTACATTTTACACACATGTTTATCATATGATAAAGTAAAAGTTTTTTTTTCCGTGTATCAAGAACTTGTGAATCAGGAAAAAAAAAAGAGCAAAAAAAAAAAAAATAATAATAATAATAGTAGTAATATAAATCTAAAGCTTAAAGTTTACAGAAATTGAATTAAATGTTATCAGAGATAATGAAAAATTAAGAAAAAAAAAATCAACTCCAGCTTACAACAGCTGTTGATTGATTTTACATTTTACAAACTCTTAAAAAAGAAAAAAAAGAAAAAGGAATAATAAAATTAAAATACAATACAATAAATTACATATCATTTTTAAGCACAAACGCACACGCCTTCATACATTTTCTTATGCTTTCATGTACGATAGATATATAGTTAATTTATAACAAAGTTTGCGCGCTTACGTGCGTGTGCTTCAAATTTTCAAAAGTACCGTCGTCATCTATGTTTGGTATGTCCGTGAGTGTGTGTGTATAGTACAAAAGTGCTATTGATGTCTTTATATTATTGTATTCTATTATTGTTTTTGTTGGGATTAAAGATAATTTTCCTTCGTTTCATCAAAGTACGATCATTTTTACAATTAAAGTTTTTTCATTTTCCCTTCCGTTTTTTATTTATTTATTTATTTATTTTTTTATTTTTTTTTTTTGCATCGAACATTCTGTTTTTCACTGACTTTTTCTCTTTCACATCAGTACATCATTTAAATCTTTTATAAGTGTGTAATTTCATAAAATCTAATTCAAGTTTATATTTTTCTTTTTAGAATTCTTACTACCACAACATCTTATTTCTTTTTTAACATTCATTCATATTTATTTATTGATTTAACTTTGAATTATCTCATTATTTATTTATTACGTTTAATTTTGAGTTAGTAGTGCAGTTGTATGTTTTTTCAAATTGAATTATTTAATTAGAGCTGTGGGCTTTTTTCGTTCTTATTAATAAGCTTCGCTTTGCTTAGCTTTTTGTCAATTTTTATTTTCTTATCTCAGTATGGTTGTCTTAAACGGTAGCAATTACAATCAATAGATGAGCCAATTCGGCCACCCGATTCTTTAGATCGGGAGCTGCTCTCTCCAAGTTCTCATTGGCAAAATCACAGGATGGAAAGATATGTACAACATATGCCGCTTGTTCACTGCCTGGCATCGGTATGTTAACAATACCGGCTGCCATTTTCTGCTGCAAATATGTTATAAAACCCGTTTGTAAATTCCGAGATTGCTGCAAGACGTCGGCATGATCGCGACCACATGGTAAGGCCAATAGCATACAATGTTCGTTTTCAAACTGAAATACAACAAAATAAATAAAAAAAAAAAAGAAAGGAATTATATACCCATATGTAAATACTCATGAGTTTATGTACGATATTTGATCATAAAATCTATTTTAGCTATATTTATGCTATATAATGCAAAGCATTTGGGTAATGCTTGATATGGAATTTCTCGCATTGAAGTGAATCTGTGATAGACAAGTAAGTAGCGCGAAAGACCGACGTGTTGTTGTAGGGTATCTATCAAGTAAAAACACACTTGCCCTTGTGGACACAATGAACAATTAAAAAATTATAGTAGGCCACGGCCCAAGATGCCGCTTCGCTTTATACAGGTATTCACCTAGCAATTTCAAAATAAGAGACTATATGATAAGCGGCCGGAAAAGTTGCCCGATCTGAACCATATTTAATAGTGTACGTCCTTGAGACAAAATATGCTGATATAATAAATTTCATCAAAGTATCTCAAAAATAGCAATCCGTGGACTGAAAGAAGGTTAACAAAACAAGAAATGATGGATCTATCCCTCAAGTCCTTCTGATTATTGTGTACATCCGCACAAACTTGATATGCCTTTGTAGCATAGTTGGTATAAGGTATAAAAATAAATTATATCTTTAATTAGAGTGCTGCTCTCATTAAAGCCTACATCACTTGTGGTAAGAGGCTGTAAGTTAATCATTGCAATTCCGTAATAGGGACCACAAAGATCTGTTTCTGGGACTCCACTATATACCGAGGCTTTCATAAGAAACAAGCCCTCATATGGCGACAGTGCTGTTTGTAGTCTATTACGAGGTGCGCAGCCGAGAAATAATGAAATCTTTGATAAGTAACGGTCAGCCTTACCCGAATGTAATATTCTTATTTGTCAAGTTATTATATTGTTGAAAGACTTTTCATCTTCCATGGCTGCTCATTTGTACACATGTATTAACTAATATTTATTAATTACCCTTAAATGAGATCAATACCACTTCATTTGCATGTTCGAGCTCTCTTAACTCTTAATATACGATGAAATGGCTTCAGATTTCTTGGCCGGTTTATTACTACAGGTTTTTTTTCGCATGTTGCACGTTTCTGACGTTAATGAAACTTACCTGCATTTTCCTGGCCACACCTTCGAGCTGAGTTTGCTCCAGGCGCATACGCTGCGCTATACGTAATGGTGGCGTGCTACCGTCACTATTGCATGGCAACGAGGCTCTTGCCACGTGCGGATTACCGAATACAAAGTGCATTTGCACAGCAGCTTGATCGGTTTTGAGTGCTAACAGACCCTGCCACATAACTGGATAACGTTGCAGCAATGTCAATAAAGAATCTGCCTGAGGGGTCGGTTGCGGTGGTTGACTGTGAGGAGGCATTTGTGCGGTTGGTGGAGGCGGAGTATTTGCGCGTAAATGAGAGTCACCTTGAATAAAAAAAAAATGCACACTTTATTTAAAAGTTATAATTAAAAAAAATAAAAGGAAAAAAAAAAACTAAATTAAACTAAACAGATCTCCGATCCCAAACAGACGAAGGCTATATTCTTTGGTAATTGCGGATAGTTCTACTGATCTCGCATTGGAAAAGAAATTCTAAAGTGTATGGTAATGGGAAATTTTAGATCAATTGCATCGCGTTAAATAATTTTTTCAGCGGACTTATGAATAAACACATGCCGCCTGTCTACGCAAGTAAATGATTCGAGCTAGACTATCGGATGGATATATGTGAGAATTGCCACGTAAAGTAATCGTTCAAACTATCTGACAATGTCTACTTAAAAATGATGCGACCTATACCATCGGATGGGTATTGAATATATATGTGAGGAACGCCAAGCAAAAAAATCAGCTTTACATTTTTAGCTCCAACAAATTTGATAATGTCAGACAGCTTTTCGGTATTTTCAATATTTACAATCACTTTACACTTTTGTGTCGTCTGAAACACTTAGCTTCTTGCGTGACTTTTCCTTTTAATTTAACACTGATCTACTTAAACTATTGCTTTACTTTTTATTTGTTTTCTGTTTTTTGCTTATTGCACTAATGCTTTAAAACGGAGCTTGCTATCAATATTCGAGAAATAGCTCCACTCGACAATGCATAATTGAACACCATTACATCACACAGGACATTGGCCACGTCCATTCATCAATGTCGAACCAATAATAAAATCAACTATGTATGTGCAAATTTTAAAATTAAAAATTTTTCTTTTAGAAACTCGCAAGGCCATATTGGACTCAAAATATAATGATGTTCAAAAGTAAATGTGTGCCTTTGTTGAGTCTGCGGTATCTATTCGGAGTGTTATGTAAATGATATGGCGAAGACAGTTTTTTTTCTTTGATCGGTAAAAGAAAACGTTTACTTACCTACTCTGGCCAAAATTTGTTCTTTTTCCCTTTGAAGTTGGTGTTCCCGCTCACGTTCACATTCGCGTTCTCGTTCTCTTTCAATTCTCAAAGAGCCGGAAACGCCAGATGTATTATTGGATGTTTGCATCGGAGCTGGTGGTGGCTGCACCGATGCTATAAATGGACTGCTACCGCTAGCAGACGGGTGTGGCACTACCACTGTAGGCGGTAAAGCAGCAGCCGATCTATGCGCTGGTGGTGGTTCTCGGGTTAATTGCCTAGATGTTTCATAATAACCAGTCGGCGCGTTAGCGTTTGTGTTGTAATGAGCGTGACCTGCTATACGAGTATTATGTACATAGACTTGAGCCACTTGAGGAGAGTCTAACATGGGCAAATATATGATATATAATTAAATTTTATGATCTGGATTATTATATCAAAAGCGTACCTGTAGCTCGGTCTTGTGGACTTTGTAGGCTGTGGGGAACGGCTATTGTACGAGGCACACTGCCAGGTCGTCGTAACTCCAAAGGCGGGCTGTTATCCATCAAATTTTCCTCATATTCACGTAAACCGGTTGTTGAGTTCAATGGATCCTGTTGAGCTGAACGTAGCATTTGCTGATAAATCATGTAGTGTTCTCTAGTAGGAACACCACGTATTGCACCGCTACCGGGATAGTTGGCATCACTCTACAATATAAAAAAGTGGATAAAAAATTATTAATTTGCATGGACTTTCATTGTACTAGATCACGATGTTAAATTGTAAACATGACAAAAAGGAGATTAAAGTTTATAATCCTTGCCGAACGTATTACCGTTGCATGTGGAATAGCGGTTTGTTGATGGGCCGGCGGGGGGCTATGTGTGCTGCGTACACCTCCTTTCGAAGTGTTACTGTAATTTCCAATTTCATGCTGCGTCCATAAAATTAAGTAACCAAATATTATATACAATTCAAGCGGTAAATTCGATTTTAAATCTTTTCGGGGATTTCCTTTTATTTTTCAGTTTAATTTTAATCTAACATAAGAAATAATCAGATTTTACTTTTGCACTTACCGTGTTTGCATCAAAATGAGACGGAACTTGCATACCGGACGATAATAAGAGAGAGCCAACGCGGCTTTGACCTTGAGGACTGATGGCAGGCGCAGCTGTACGTATACTAGCAATGCCTATAAATTTCATATAGTTTACGAAGAGAGTTTTAAATCCATATTCGTTTACAGAAGTACTTGAAAACTTACTTGCAGCAGAGTTTGAAGGTGTCGGCACTTGTTGTTGTTGTTGTTGCTTAGTTCCAACTGACGCCGATGAAGCATTTGTTAGCACATGTGGTCCACTTTGAGAAGGTAGATTATGTGTAAGCGGATTAGTTGTCGGTAGCGATTTAGGTAAATGTTGAGATTGCAACGGTGGTGATGGTGTGTGATGATGATGTTGGACCTGCTGCAAATGTGGATTGGCCACCACTGTTGAACCTGTAGGTGACTGGGTGGGTACGGCCGTTTTTGCTTGTATAATCATAGCCGGATGATTGGGTAAACCTAATATTCCCGGTGCTATAGTTAGCGAAGTGGAAGGAGGTTTTTGTTGAGAAGTCGTTTGTTGATGTAAAGTCGAAGCAGCTTGTGATTTCTGTAATTGCTGTACATGCTGACCAGACGTCGATCCTTGTATGTAGGTGTTATATTGTGTATTAGCTTGTTGTTGTTGTTGTAAGATCTGTGGCGTTGATTGCTTGCATTGCGTTGACGCTGATGCCTTGGAACTAACAACATGCAACACTTGCGAATGATGAATTTCTTGATTTTGCTTTATGACGATTGCTTGCTGTTGCTGTTGCAAATGGCGCTGCGGCTGACATTGCGACTGCTGTCCTGATTGATGTGGTAATGACTGCAAACGTGGGGAATTTACGGAAGACACATTTGTCCCATGTGGTGAATGCGTTGTCGGTGGCGGTATATTAACTAACAACTGTTTTGACACTGATTGTTGCTGCTGTATGGGTTGACGTGTTACAATGCTTGCTTGAATTACGTGCTGAGATTGGGCGGATGACCCATTAGGTTTTGGCAAACTATGATTTTGGTTTACAATAATTTGTTGCTGTTGCTGATGCTGTTGTTGCAACTTCTGACTATTGAGTACGTGAGCTTTCAAGCTTGTAGGGGGCTTTACATTCGTCTGTTGAGCATGCATAACAACGGGATTTTGTTGCTGTACCACAAGTGGCTGTTTGGTGGCTGGACCAGTGCTAGTTTGAGTAGAAATTTGCCCCTGTTGGGAATTATGTTGCTGAAGATGTATCGAATGATTTGATTGCGATGTAACTTGAATTTGTTGCTGCATGACGATAGGAGGAGAAGCGGAAGTTTTAACAACAACGCTTACTGATTTATTAAGCATTGCCGTTGCAACAGAAGTAGCGGCTGCTGCAGCAGCTGCTGCGGTCTCGGCTTGAACAGGCTTCGTTAAAGCCGTAACAGGGGTTGCCACAGCACCCTGGATCATAGGTTTCTGGGAAACTTTGCTGTTGTCAATTTGCGTGGTAGGTAATGTCTGATTATTTTCTGCGGCTGCAGCTGCTACAGCTGCTTGCATGATTTTTTTTGGATCCATCGGCCCTCTAGTTTGCGCAATAATCGGCAAAGAAGAGGCGGCAGCAGCCAATGGCAGACTACCCTCCTTGCCCTGTTGCATTTTTACTCCCGAGACAACTCCCGTGACTGAATCGATTAATGGCTTGTTAAGCGAATCAGCGGCTCCGCCCGTTGTTTTTTGCGAAGCAGGCGCTGCTGTATTATGCATGGGCACACCCCCAGCTGGCAAAGCTGAGTGTAAATTTGGCATGGTATTAGTGGAAGTAACTGCTGCGGCTGTTACTGCAGCATTATATGACTCAATTTCAGCTGCGGCCAATGCCTTTTTCTTAGGATGTTGCGGAAGCGGGGTCGTTGCCTGTACTGGTGATGCTGTCGTGTGTATTTGTGCTTTTTCTGGCGTCGATGGTGCAGATTTTTCTAAAATTTTTGGTAAAACTGTTGCTGGTGGTGTTGTTGTTGCAGTTCCATCCTCGCTTTCGCTTGCCTCTATCGCTGTTCCGCTATTTTGTGTAGAACTTTGTTCTGCTTCACCGTCATTAGCCTTACGTTCTTTCGATTTCCTTGGTCTACCAATTGGATTTGCTGGCGTAGGAACCTCCGCGGTAGTGACTTTTTTAGGCTGCGTAGCATTGCGCCCTGATCTGCGAGGAGGCGTTTGAGCCCCCTTCGGCAAAGCGTTTATAGCGCATGTTGCTTGTCCACTTCCAGATAATGCCATATTTGTCGCATTATTACGTACTACATCTTCAATGATGTCATCAATCGTGCTACGGTCTTTTTCTAGCAGTCGTCGTGATTTACGAGTATTCGCAAAAGTGGTTTCTGTTGACAGTGGATCTTGTTGGATTGTATGATTTGTTGCCGAATTAGCCGATTGCACTTTAGGTGATGTATCTTGATTTTGGCCATCGGTACTTTTGGCAGTAGCGGGAGTTATATCCACGGTTGGCATTTCATCACTTGCTGGTTTTTCCGTCGCTTTAACAAGTTGTGTCGGTTGTGCAGGACTTTTGATGGTCAATATTAATCGGGGACGACTGTCAGTAGTCGTTGTTGTAGATGATGTTAAATTAGTTGTGGAAGTACTAAGTTTGTTTTCTTCCCCGGAATCATCATGAAATTCGTAAACATCTTGTTGTTCTGAAAGTGACGCCAAAGCAGCAGCAGCGGCTTGGTTTCGAGCCTTCTTTTCAGCCGCCGTTAAAACGGGCATTGGAGTTTGTTGAGCTGTGGTAGTAACCACGTTTGGCACCGCTGTTGTTTGTACTGAGTGTTGCTGATTTGCTTGCGATGAAGACTGTTGCTGCAACATTAGATTCCTTGGTGGTCGCCCCTTTCGTCCTCGCGTTATTGGGGCATTAACTACTGGTTTACGTAACCTAGTCTGAATACCAGATATTTCGACGGTTGAGCTCATAGCAACGTCTGCCTGCTGAGATCCTCCGTCGACATTGACTGCTGATCCGGAAGCTGAAGAATGAGTACCAACTTTTTTACTTCCTCTTGATTGACGACCTCGTTTAGATGCTGTACCTCGCACACCAGATTTACTACCTCCGCTCATCTGCACCTGTTCGAATGCAGGCATTTGTTGCGTCTCAGTTTCATCTTCCGTATCGTTATCCGCACTCAGGTTATGTGCAGTGGCAAAGGGTGACGCTGGTGCCTGCACTTCAATATTAATTGTAGGATCTGACTGGTCTCCTATATGCGCATTTTGTGATTCAGATCTGCTTGCCGATGGCGAAGTCTTTGACTTTTCCTCATTATCAATTGGTTGTTTTACCGTTTGTTTGTCATCTTCTTTGTTTGTTGAAATCTGTGGAATAGTGACGCATTCAACCTTCTTTATAACCGTGCTTGTGACATTTGTTTCAACATTGACTTCCTTGGCCGACCAATAATCACTGTCTTCTTTTGAATCTTGCTCGACTTCGTCTTGTATAATGGGTGACATTTTAACTACATTTTCTTCTGTTAATGGTGCTGTTCGAGCAGAATCAGTGAGATTTGTTGCAACTGAATTTGGTCCTTTTGTGACTGGAGCAATGACGGTTGTAGGAGTTGAAGTACATATAACAGAGACCCCTTCCGAAGATTTGTTGATAGTTGAAGTCAAGGGAGATGGGCTTTCAGAATTCTCTTTAGACGGAGGTGCAGATTTCTCAAAGGAAGTCTGTGGAGCCCGATTTGTCGTCGATGGAATGGCTTTCGAAGAATCAACAGTACTTTGTTCTGATTCAGACTGCTTTGGCAAAGAAAGCGAGTGTTGAGGGCTGGAAGCTTGCTGTAATTTAGACTGAACAATTTGAAATTGACGATCTTGCTGCTGTGACGTCTGCTGTTGTTGCGACAGATGCTGCTGTTGCTTTTGTGCCACAGGCGATTGTGGTTGAGGTTGTTGTGGCTGTGGTGAGTGCTGTTGAGAAGACACACCGACAATATGTTGTTGTACTACAAATCTTTGCGGTGTTTGAGCGCTGTGAATAACGTTTGATTGAAGTTGCTGGCTTTGCGTTTGCTGCGCTTGTTGCGGAGATCCTGCTGATCGTTGTTGCTGTTGAACTGTGCTCTGCGAATGAGATTGCGACGGGGATATTAAAGTTTGTTGTTGCTGTTGCAACTTTTGTTGATGCTGGTGTATCATTTGCTGTTGTTGTATTTGGAGCATATGTTGTTGCATCTGGTGTCGATGAGGTGAATGTTGCTGTATTTGACTCCTTTGCGCCTGCGTGTATTGCATATGTTGTTGCTTTTGCGGCGACTGACTTTGCATCACTTGGGTGGAATGAGGCGTAGATTGTGATTGTTGGCTTGATATACAAGTTTTTGAGGTTTGTTGCATAACTTGTTGGTGAGATTTTTGTGAGTTTCCACCGGTCGCTGTTGATGTAGATGAATATATGGGTTTGCAGGGTTTTTGACTAATTGTTGAAGAAGGAGGTAAAACATTGCATGTATTAGTGATTACATTTTGCGCAGAATGCTGCGCCTGCTGAGGTGTAATCGTCACGACCTTACTTATTATTGTTGAATGAGTAGGAACGGCCGGCAGCTTTTGCGCTGAAACAGGCAGCATATGCTGCCCAGCTAACACATTATGCTGCTCAATTCCCAATTTCGAAGAATGGTATAGCGAATTAGGTTGGTCTTGCTGCTGCATCGATCTTACATTTAGGACACTTCCTCCTACGGAGGAAGCGGAACTATTTTTTATTTTCGTTAACTGTTCTTGATCTGACGCTTTCGGAGATAATTGTTGATGATGCAATTGAATGGACTGCTTCTGTAGACCAGCAACTGGTGATGGTTGCCGTTGCGACTGGCCCATACTCGGGCTGGTTACAGGACTGTTATTTTGAGTACAAACAGTAGCAGGTGGTGACATTACGGCTGATTGCATAGGTCGTTGTATAACAATATTTTGCTGCTGTATTACCGGAGGTGGAGTTGACGTGTGAGGGCTAGGTTGCCTCGGGATTGGGGTATTGCCCCTCGAGGTTTGTCGTGGGCTATTAGGTGATTGGGTTCGGGTATTCATTATGTATGCATTTCCAACTGGCGATTGCGGCGGCATATTAGTTCCACTAGTTTGAGGCGAATGTGGAAGCGAAGACGAAGCTAAAGCGGTATCGTTGTGATGGGAATTTATTGTGCCCCTAGGTGATACAACCATTTGTGGTACCGCAAAATGTGCAGAATCCGGTATGGAAATAGTTGGAGGTTGCATTACATAAGACGATTCCTGTGATGAAGACATAGATTTAAATGAAATAGCCTGCGTTTGTTTAGGTGTCGAAGAGGCCGTTACAGCTGGTGAGAATGTAAACGCTGTTTTCATAGGTGTTGAAGAAATATAAGATACGCTGCTGGAACGCGCACTACTTGCAACCGCTGAAACGGCCGTCGTGCTAACCGTGCTTGCAACTAAAGAAACGTCTGTCGATGACACAATAGCCTGTGCGGTTTGATGAGCTGATGGCTTTTCTACATTACTCATGTTGGAGTATTCCATCTTCTTGTCTACTGTTTGACTGGTACTTTCTGCGGGTAAGGTTTGAGTTGGAAGTTCTATCTTTGTGATAACTGAAGATTGTGAAGTTTGCACAGTGACTGTTGCGACAGAAGTTAGAGATGGTATCGACTCGCTTACAGGCACTGGAACATCTTGTTTGTCAGATGTTATAGAACTAGTATTTGAATGGGCAGTTTCATCGATTTTAAGACAATGACTGCCGCTGCTATCTACTTCTTCACCGTTTTCTTCGGCATCGGTGTCTATTTGCAAATCACGCACTGATAGCGGAGTGTCAACTTTAATCTCTATTTCTTCTTGACGTAAACTTTGCACAGCCTTGCAAATCTCCTCCGAATCCTCTTCGATACTTGCTAAAGGAGCAGAGCTAGCTACTTCATTTTCAATAGTTTTAGCCGCAAGTGCAGCCTCTTCGTCTGGCCCTTCAGACTCTCCTGCTATTGTACTTTCTGGGACAGCGACGGCAGTATGTAATGAGTCCAAACCATCATCATCATCATTAAGTGAATAGTCAGCTGACGAATTTCCGAAACTTTCACCTAGTAGAGCAGAAACAGCACTTTCCGTTTCCTCTTGGGATATTGTAACACGTGACTTTGATTCCTCAAGTTTTTCCATCTGCTTTGATGCATCCGGAGGAGATTCGATGGGTATTTTAGGCTCATCGGCGGAAGGATCCAATAAAGTCGTATTGAACTCTGCTGATATTGACTGCACAGCAGACTCACTTATGCGTTCATCAATTTCTCCATCAAAGCCAGGAATGAAGATTTCAGGTTTTTTCTTCGAACATGTAGTTGAAAGAAGACTTGGTGAAGACTTTGAATTTATACTTCCAACTGATTCATTCAGTTCATCAAATTTAGTGGAAGAACCGTTTGAAGATGGTGAGGGAGTTGTGTTTGCATGCACACTATTTGTTAAAGAAGAGGTAGGTGTGCTCGTACCTAATTTCTTTTGATTAGAATCAACATTTATTCTAGTAGCATTACCAGTAGTTGGAGTTTTAGGCAATGGACTAATCATTTGTTTATCTCTGATATGTGGCGATAATGACAATGTTTCTTTGGATAATTTTTGTGGTGTTGTACAAAGTGCATTAGATCCGCCAGTATTATTTATGATAGATTTAGCTCCAAGAGTTGATATTGCATCTTCATCGTCCTCGCCAACTAAGCAGGGTAAACTAGGTGATGGTTTACACAATGGTGAGCTGCTTGCCGTCTGACTTTCTACATTGATCTGCGAATGTTCACTGGCAGCTTGGATATCTACACTAAGTTTGTTTATCACATTTGACGCTTTGGCAATATTTGCGGAATAAGCTTGTTGAGAATTATTAGATGATGAAGACTCCCTCCTTTGATGATGATGTGACTGCTTTTCTTCTTTCGATCGCTTCTTTTTTTTCTTTTTCTCCTTTGTTTTTGCACTTTGATTAAAATGTTCTTTATCAGCATCTCTCCTTTCCTGCCGTGAGGAAGTTTCTAATTCAATTGAATTCTCATCACCATCAGAAAATCGAAAAACATCGGTCATATCACTACGATATGTTGTTGCAGTGGAAGGAGTGGCATCTTCGGCAGCCTTGTTATCGGAATCTTCCATAAGCTGAGCTTCTAGAGCTCTACCAGCGGCATCTAAGTCCACACTATTCTCATCCTCTACGTTTTTAGATGGCAATGCAGATGCGAAATTATGGTGAAGTTCAGAGCCGCGTGACTTTTCGCGGTCTTTCCGCTTTCTTTCTCGTCTTTCTTTACGATGTTGCCGTTCTAACATTCTCTCTAAATGTGGTGTACTGCTTGCGGAAATGCTACATAATTTTTGCTTATTCTCTTCATTTTCTTCAACTGTATGAGACTTAGGAGTTAATGGCTCTTGTTTATAGGGGTTCAATGCTGCTGATACTATCGGTCCTGGAGTATTGGTTGTAGAAGACGTCCGCGCCGGTAAGCAATTTAAGTCGCGTGGGCCAATATCGCTGTCGGTAAATTGCGATTCTACATCTTCATCGTCATCATCTGATATAGGACCAAAAATATCTTCCATTTTTTCACCACCGGATTTCTTATGTTGAAAAGGAAAACAGGCGTCTGGTGCCGCCATAGTCATTTGTATATTAGTCATTTGTGTATTTTGTTGAACTGTGTCAGTATTCTTTGATCTTTTCGATTTCTTTAAACGATGTTTTTCTTTTTCATAAGCTATTTTGTCGGCGTCTATCGCCGCATTGGCGTCCGCATTGAGATGTCGTAATTTTTCTCGTCTTTTTTCTTTGCGATCCTTGTGTCGTTTCTTCTCGGAAAATGTTGATATATCCGAAGTGGTGTGAGCAATCAAGGTTCCTCCACGTTTGAGTTCATCGAATGCGTCATAGCAGGGAGATGCCAAAATTTTCAAGTTTTTCGTATCAGCTTGCAATGAGAGAAGTGGACTTGCAATGATGTTTGAGTTTGGAGATCCTTTGACATCCGTATCAGCAATTATAGCATCTTTCACAAAGTTATCATGAGTCGGCGTTTTCTGACGTTTCTTACTTTTCTTATGCTTTTTAACTTTGATTATTTCGGGAGAACATAAGACAGATGACTTATGAAACTTTATATCTGGTTGCAATTTATCGTAATTGTCAGCGAAAAGCTCCTTGAACTCCTTTTTGATCTCATGTTCCTTGGGGTTTATTTCAGCTTTAATGCCTGCGAAAGAAGGATTTGTGTCACCAGAGGAATATAATAAGGTTTTTCTTTCGTATTTAATATCATGAAACTCACCCATTGAACAAAGAGTTTCTGAATTCTTAATTTCCTTTTTGAGTTGCTTTTGACAGTGTTTAGTTAGTGGACTGCTGCTAACTTCGTCTGCTGAGGTGTCAAAAGGTTCTTGTTTAAACTTGGTATCTATAGCAGATTGGGATTGGGATTCAGAGTCAGAGGCAATACGCGATGTGTGATGGCCTAAGCGTTTGTTGGTATTAAAGTTAGGATTGAAATTACGCCGTATAAGTTCATCTTCAGAACTTTCATCGCCATCGTATAAACGCCTTATATTGTCCTGAAGTTTAAGGTGGCGTTGTTCCTCCGAGTCATTATCAGAAGCCGAATATAGTCGATTGGGATGGACTGAAGGTGCTGGTAATGGCCCTTGCGATTCCAATCGTCGTTCTCGTTCACTTAATTTAGTTTGTTCTTGGTCTCGATCATCGTCTGTAGAGGACAAACCACCACTAATAACACGGGGCGACTTATAAACTCCTCCCCCTCGGCTAAGGTGCCTATTTTGAGACTCCGTTCCATCTAAATCCGAATCAGTATCTCCGTCGTAGCTAGCTGACCGCTTTTTTTCCTCTCGTTTAGCACGAGACTGCTTTAGTTGACTAAATTTAGCTTTAATTTTTTTCTCCTCTTCTTGTTTTTGCATATTTTTACAAGAACGAGCCTTTACTTTATCATACATTGAAACATAAGGCCCTTCATCGGGTATATCAAATATAGAGGTCTTTTTGGTTGCAGCATCCGAATCATCGTCATCATTCTCATCAACTTGGTCGCCGCCAACATCGTCGGAATCTTCAGCAGAACTCAGTAACATTCTGCGAGCTATATGATGATTTTTACCGTGATTACTTTGTCTATTGGAAGGTGTTTGTGGTTGCTGTCCTCCAACTGGGCCATCATCAGAACAACGAGACGCCTTTCTCTCCGCACTACGTAACAAGCTGTCGTGCTTGCATTTTGTATTCATTTCGATGTAAGTAGTATTATGGGCTGAAGTTCGCCTTTGTAGATTGCTTGCATTCGCAGTTATCATTTCCTCTTCCGTCGCATTGCAACATCCAAGTGATATTGTTGAAGTAAGCAATTCAGTAGTGAGTGATATTGAATGCCTTTTCTTTTCTCGATGATGTTCGCGTTCGCGTTTGTTACCTTTATGACGACTATGATGGCCGCTAACTCCGTTTCCACTACCATGCTCTTTATGTTTACGTATATTTGAAGGAGTTTTTATTGTAGGCGGTGTCTCAGGTTGTGCTGGTCCTTCTTCGTCAGAGGATTGCAGACTTGATGGTTTAATTTTCAACGTTGATGTTTCCTGCTCTAAGTGATTGTCAGCCTCTGTTCTATTTATGCAATTTGTCGGTGGTATTTCAGATTCATGTTCGGATGCAACAATAATCGAATCACCTGAATGTTGTGTCAGTAGTGAAGCTTGCAGCTGTTTCTCTTTTTGTTGTTTATTTCGATGGTATTTCGATGAGGTAGAGTTAAGTTCTTTTTCATTAGCGTGAGCGCCCTTGTGACTGGATGACGAAGATTGGCGTTGATGTTTAGCCACTTTTTCCTTTGTATTTTGTTCTTTAAAATCATGACGTTCATTGACTTTGCTATTGATAGAATTTGGATTATTAGTGTGCGGCTGAGCTGTTCCTGAGACTTGATTTTCAATACGTATGCGTTTGTTATAATCATCGCCATGGCTGTTGTTTATATTAACGCCGCAGATGCTTGCATTACTATCTTGAGAGCTCAGCCTTCGCTTCGGATTACGAATTGGGGATGCATTTCTTGACACCTTCCGTGACCTGTGTTTACCGCTTTTTGTGATTACATTATCGGACGTATGGTTTATCGAACCGCAAAGAGGATCCGCTGCAGAGTTTTCTTTATTTTGTTGTTCAATTTCGTCGTGACGAAACAAGTTCTGAGTACTTTGGTTTAACGTTCCTACGTCACTAGTGACCTCCGTTTGAAGCTGGAAACCACTTACTTTTTTACGATGGTGATCCTTCGACTTACCTTCGGTATGATCTTCCTGAAGTTTGCGTTCATCACGTATTTTGCGTTCTTTCTCACGTTGTAATTGCTCTTCTCGTTCACGTTCTTCGCGTTTTCGCCGTTCATTTTCTTCCCTTTCTTTTCTTTCACGTGATTCTTGCTCAATTTCCTTTTGTTTACGTTCTTTTCCTTCCTGCTCAATGCGTTCTTTTTCAAGTCGTTCTCTTTGTAGACGCTCTCTGTGAAGGCGTTCATTTTCTAGGCGTTCTTTTTCGATACGATCTTTTTCTTCGCGTTCATCACGCACTCTATTCTCCCGACTTTTTTCCTCGCGTTCTTGCTGTTTTCTTTGTTCTTTATCACGTTTCTCTTGACGTTCCTTTTGGAGTTTGTCATTTTTATCACGATCTTGTTTAATTTTTTCAAAACTTTTATCCAAATCTTTATCGTCACCATCACTGGACTCTGCAGCAGATGCCGCAATTTGTGACAGGGATGCATTTGAGCTTTTGCGTTTCTCCGCATTACGTTCACTTTTCATTGATTTTTTATCATCACTACTTCGATGATTGTGTTTATGGGATTTATCTCGTTTCACTGTCGAAGCTAAACTCGAAGAAATGGAGGAACTTGAGGATTTTATATCTTTGGAAGATACATTGTCTTCCGTACTCAGTTTATTGTTGGAGATGTTAGATGTTGCGTTTAAGGAACTAATACCGCTGGTGTACTGTGCATTATTTAGAGGAGGTGTCGAAGGGGTCGTGACTTTAATGGTACCCACATTTGTACTGCCAGGAACTGATACTGATTTGGTAAGGACACGTGATTCGGGTCCAGTAGACGTTGTCGGCACACTTAAGCTCTTTGAGACAGCGCTCGTCTTTGGTTTTGATAACGCGACAATTTCCGTCGATGATGAAGAAGGTGGTACTTGCGGTTGGATATCTACAGGAGCTGCAGTGCTTGGCAAAGGTGGATGTGATGGAAAGGGATATTGTAAACCTTTTGAAGAGGCACCAGAATTTAAGGATGTTAACGAGTTTGCGGTAGGTGGATGTGAGATAACCCCACTTAAGCTAGTATAGGATGTAACTTTTGTTATAGATGAAAGTAGTTGAACGTTTCCGGTTATAGATGGCGAAGGTGATGGACTATTGTACGGTGACATTGAAGTTTGAGGTGAATTCATAGGAGAAACGCTACTTAAGCGTTGCAATAAACCCCCAGGGGGTTTGGTTACGGTGCTACCAGTTGAATTCGGCACATTGCTTGTGCAACCTACAACAGGCGCTTTTGTGGCTGCTAAGTTTGGTAAGCCTGGCGATGTGCAGATGTTTGAGGTATTTTTTGCTAATTGTGAGATGTCACTTGACGGTTCGTACCAGTGATTTTTCTTTAGTCGCTGTAAATCGTCATCAAATATTGATTTTTTCGCTAATACCGATTTAACAATTTCCGAAGGCTGTAATTCGTTGACATCAATATCAAGAAACTTATGACGACTGGCAGGGACTGAAGGTGCATTCAACTTTATCTCATTGCTACTGGAATGGTGAAGATCTGCCGATAATACAGAACGATTTTGTTGCCATATAGGAGGAGCATGATTAAAATCGTGACGTTTATTAACATTACTTGTTGCACTTCCACCAGACCAACGCTCATACATTTCATCCAAAGTACGAATGCGCTCTTCAAGGGAAGGACTGCCCGTCGATGACTGCCCAGGCACATCCGAGTCACTAGAATTCGAGCTTAGCGAACGTGAACGCAATGGACTAATCATGGCTGACGACGACGATGACGGTGTTGTCCCAGTGTGATGATGTTGTTGACCATGGTGTCCATGATTATGATGTTGGTGATGATGATGTGGCCGCCATTGCGCTGGAAACCTTGTCGGAGGACTCGGTAGATAGGAGCTGGATGATCCAGCCACAACAGATGATGCTGACGTTGCAGTTGAAAAGCTATGACTAAGACTAGAATGTACATTGTTATTGCTAACACCGCCTCCTCCGCTCAACAAACTGTTTGACAGAATATGGGAGCTTCCAGAAGCAGTGCTACTCGCAGCGGAAGCACTTGTAAAACTGCTACTGCCGTGATGATGGTACGTTGTCGATGACGGCAAAAGAGATGACGAACTGTTAGATGTCATACTATTTCGGTATTGCTGAAAGAAGTGAATACCAAATTTTGGTAATGGCAAAACCATAGGTTCCCTTGGTCTATCACGCGGAACTCGTCGCGGTTCGCTTGGTAACACCTCTGGCCGCTCGTCACATAACGGTGTACCTGGTCGGGACCCATCTGCACTTTCACCTCCACTAGCCTCATGAGAATGCTGGGAATGTAACTGATGGCCACGGCCGCGCGATGCATGATGGTGATAATCATCGTTAAGCGACGGCGCCAGACCAGAACCCGAACTGCTTACTAACGTATTCGAGGCAATGACATTTCCACCGCCACTTATAATTCTTCGTCGTTTACATGGTAACGAAGTAGACGATTGATAAGGTGGCGGGTGATGATCACTGTTTGAACTGGTGCTGCTCGTGCTGCCGTGACGTGCTGATAGGCTACCACCTGTCGCCAATATATCAATGGACGGTCGACGACTAAGTTGCTGTTGGTGGTGATGGTGATGTGGCAGCGAATGATGGGAGTGATGATGATGGTGAGTTTGCTGTGGATACTTGCTCAAATTACTGCATTCAGACAGTCTGCGCACTTCGCCTTTGCGATGAATAGAATCATGTAGAATGTAATCACAGTTGGAGTTTTTATGTTGGGGTTGTTCATCCAGCATATGTGGTTGAGACTGAAATCGAAAACACCAAGATTGCAATTTGGTAATTAATATATAACGCAAATACGTAGTGTTAAATACACACCAATCCACAGTTGGAATTAATGGAATGATGATCGATTTTAATACGCTTTCGCGGACTCACTATGTTCTCATCACCACTGGACGGGCACTCTTCAAGCTGTTCCAATAAATGGGAACGCTCTTTTTGAAATATCCGAATATCACCTAAAAAGCAAAAGAGATAGGAGTAGCTAAAATTTTTTTGCATGTGTTTCCAATTGCTTACCTTTTTGTTTACCAGGACTTTTATCACATCGACGACGACTGCTTAAAGATACCTCTATCACCTCATTAGGCTCCTTATTACTATTTACAATTGGGCCTAACCGTGAAAGTAAAGGAGAATCAGAACGTAAACCAATACCGCTATAAGAACCACCTGGGGCGATATGACCGCCTGGTGGCGCATCTTCATCATGTGACGCTCCAGATCCTTGACTGTATTCATCGTAGGAACGAAATCTCCGCGAGTCTAAGTAGTCGTAGTCCATCGTATGACGCGAACTTCGTGAGCCCCTACTTCGTGCTGGTGTGGAATTACCTGATGTTTGGCCCACTACAGAGTTTAAAGGGCCCATAGCAAACGAAGTTGACATTGAATTTGTAACAATTGCCGATGGAAGAGTGGGCGCAGTTCCTCCGCCTGCACTACTACTACTGCTACTCCCTGGTGTGTTACTTGGCGAGCAGCCGTCATTTGAATTTTGATGACGACTAAAAGAAGAGGCACGCGAACGAGATTGTGAATCGTAGCGATTAAACCGTGAACTTGCAGTTTGCTTATCAAGTTTATCATAAAAAGCGTCTTGACACTCGCGAGAGGCAAAGTCCACTTGTAATTTACGACCCCTTAAAGTTGCCCCGCGCATTTCTTTTACCGCTGTTTGGGCATACTGGATTTGCTCGTACAGCACAAGAGCTAGCTGTCGAAGACGATCAATCACTACTTTACTTACTGCGCCATATCGACTAAACTGTGACTGTAGGTGTGATTCAGATATTTTTTCTGCAATACCGTCGATCCATACACAATTGGTGGGCATTGATTTGCCAAAACCCAATTTAATGCGATTATTTCCCAAATGTTCCCCATCCATTTTGCGCATGGCTTTGACTACCGACACAATATCGGAATATTGGCAAAAGGCATAAGCAGAGGTACCTTGCTTTTTGATATCGATTTCAATGATTTCTCCGAAACACTCAAAATGAGAACGAAGCTCACTAGCGGTAATGTCTTTTTCTAAATTACCAATAAACAAGGTGCGTGTCGACTTGGGATGGTATTCATCGAGCTCAGCTTCGTAAGGGCGAAATTCGTTGTCTTCGACATCGTAACCTTGATAAGGTTCTACTTCAATTTTACATCCAAAAAATAGTTTATCATGCGACACTTCCAATGCTTTTTCAACATCTTCTGGTTTTTTGAAACAAACTAAAGCATAACGTTCGGCATTTTGACCAACAACTTTAACCCACGTTACTTTGCCGTGTTTTTTATACTCGTGAAACAGACCATCTTTTAGCGATGTATCAGAGGAGCGGGCAGGTAAATTACGCACACGTATCGCTAAAGGCCGATTATCTTCGGAATGTACGACTGGATTACCGATGGGTGCACCAGAGCTGCTATTATTACTGTTGCCATTACCACCGATACTACATCCACTAGTATTTAAGGCAGACGGTATGGTACTGTTGGGCACAGCGACCGCAGATTGTAGACTTCGTGGACCCACCCGCGATGTACTTAATGAATTGTCCACATCTCGGATAGCAGTGGGGCTTGATGCATGTGAATTCGATGAGGCAGACGATGAAGATGACGAAGAGCTATGCGATGAACTGTAACTGCTCGGTGATCTCGAATGTGAACGGCTCGATGACGTTGTGCTGCGTCCATGTAAATGCGCATGGGCCACCGAACGCGACGTATGATGCGAGGCGGATGATGGATTATTGGAAGAATTTGAGGCGTTCGATAAGGAATTGATGTTATTATTACCGGCATTATTGGTATTGATGTTATTACTTTGTACCTCGTTACTCTCGCTCACTGCGGCTGCAGCCAACGCCGCGGCATTTAGAATCCCGCTGGCATTGCTGGCGGTGGTGTTTGTGTCTGCTACACTACTAATGCTACTGCTTAAATTATTGTTGTTTGTATTACTATTGATTGTACTACTAAAGCTACTGCAACTACTTTTTGTCGCTGTTGTAGCTGACAAAGAAGAGGCTGTCATTGTTGCCGGCCCCGTTATAGTTGTGGGTGATGCTGAACCACTTCGGGGTGCAGATGATAATTTGAGTAGCCTTTGATATTTACTACTATTATTTCCAACGCCTTTATTTGATAAAATGTTTGAAATTTCTATAGCACGGTTGTTGTTTCCACTGTCCAGTGCTAAAGCACTTGTCACGTTTCCGTACACAGAGCTGTGGTTGCGCAACGATATCGCTGTCGCCGTCGCCGAATTGTTGTGGGCAGGTGAATTGCTGTATGATGTTGCTGGATTGCCTGCTGCTGAGACGCCGGCATTGCCACTGCCACCAGGACCGTTTGTATACGTCGCAGTGGCTTCGTACCATGACGCAGGTGGAACGCGGCTATTAGTATTGTTGCTGGTGGCAACACTAACACTCCTAAAAGCAAAATTCATAAACGGAAGACAGTTTAAGCTTTTCTACAAATAGAGGTATTTTACTTACCTGTCACTTAACAAAACTGTTGATGGTGAAGCAGTTCTTGACGATATCGCGTATGGACCATTTCTATATAACCTACAATCCCTTGTTGCTCGGTTTCTGTTGTTGTTGTTATTGTTGCTATCTGAATTGCTGTTAATACTAACGCTATTATTGATGTTACTATTACTACTTGTTTGGTAGTTATTGATTACAGATGTGCTGTGATTAGGACGCCTAATATAGGAATCGGTGTCAGCAACTAAACGTGAACTGCGTTCATAGTAGCCACTATTCCGTTCAGTATAGTTAGATATCGATAATTCGTCTGTAGACCTTCAATGAAAGCAAAATTGTAATAATACAATTATTCATGTGCATCAGTTCGGGAGCATTTATTAAAACACGCAATAATATCCTCTAACTTAGGTCAATACATTTTTGTAGCTATCAGGCTTTACTTAATATTGTTTGAATTTTTTTTCTTTTAATGTAAGCAGGTATGTATGTAGGAAACGTTAAAATATTAATAAAAAATTGACAATCAAATAAATTTAATAATAATAAAATTTTTAGCTGTTTTTACAATAACATCCCTTCTCATATATATAAGAAAAGACAGCAAACAATCGTTGATGTTCCTTGCAAGCAATATTAGAGAACACATTTTTTAAATTATTTTTGCTAGATTTTTGCCAACATATAAATTGATTTATACCCCAATGTGTATATTTTTACGTTTAACATATTAAGACGTTACCTTTGCATTATTTATTGCGAAAAATTTCATTGCCTTTTATGTTTACTCGCGATTAAACTTTGAAGCCGGTATTATTATGTTGTGGGTTGCCATTTTGCAACAATTTTTTGATCACTTGCCATACCGCACATCGTTGTATTTTATTGTAGTATTTTCATTGTTCTTGCAATTGAGAAAAATTTGCAAATCGCAAAGTATATCATGAACTTTTATCAATCAAATCGTTTAGGAAAGTTAGCTGTGATTGCAAATATTTCAAGATATTAATTTCTTTTTTTATTGGCTAAAATGATCCCTAAAATAACCACGAACGGCGTAGAAAAACAATTGTAAGCATGGTAAAATTTCAAATGAATGAAAATGTAATTGAAATTTGTTTTTCGAACATAAGAGTTTTTAAAATAAATCGAGGAATATAAGTTTCATAAACTTCATTCTTTTCGAGCGGACATTTTACAATGCCTTTTAAACGGTATTCCGCAGGGCAGCAGACATAATAAAACATAAAAAAAGGAACCTTTTACTTTTAGGCCTTTGCATTGGGCTACGCCGTTACGTAAAAAATACATTTTTGCAACAATAAGTTGTTAGAAGGATATTACATTGCATAAATATTTGTTGTAAAGGACACGCCTTAGTTTTTTTGTGTTTTCAACAAATCCTCTCGTGGAATCGATTTTACTAAATCTTCAACAACTTCTAATTACTGACTACAACTAATTAGACTCGTCGTTCTGTCTGTCTGAATTATTCGCCTTAGTTTGCAAAACTCGAAGTTCTGATTTTAACTTAAACTAAGGCATAAGCAATGAAGACTTTTAAGATGAGTCCTCCCCACTTATTGGCAGTACGAATTTTTCTTGCACACTTGTTTGACACGATATATTCATTATGATAGGTATATCAAAATCTGTGAATATCGTTTCCATATGCAGAACGCTTTTTGACACCGGATCTATATGTGTAAATAATAAGTGTGCAAAATCGGTTCTTTAGAAACGGTTACACGTTTACAACAAAAATTAATTGGGATTTTTTTTGCTTTTGGCTTTCAGTAACCACAAGAAATTGTTATGTAAATTTATATTTTCACAAATACATATATTTATTTATCTTTTGTATAACCTTCAATTTTCGTCCAATCTCCGAAAGTTTGTATTTTTGTTCAAGTACCTTAAGAGAGGTTTTAGTTGTGCAGTGTTTGTGTTTTTGTTCGTTTCACTCGTAATTGAAAAAACTTTTTATACTTGAAATTAATTTTCACTTACTTTGAAAAATGAATGTATTATATCGTGAGATAAATGAAAAATATAAAGTAAAATTCCTACGCTTCTATATGCATGAAATTAAATAGGGTATATAGGGGGAGAGTTCTTCTAAATGCACTCATATTACTTTATAGTAGTAATAAATGTGAATTATTTTATAGTTGTTTATATAGGCGAAGGTATTCAATTAAAGCTCGAGCTTCTTGAAAGATTTCCGTAAGGTAAGAAAACTTGACATCTAGGAAGGTGGCAAAGGTGGCGTTTGTTGATTTTCCTAATCATCCTTGCTAATATATTTTAAGTAAAACAGTTCTAAGAAGTGCGATTGCATCGCACTAACGTCAAGAGATTTTGGATTCCCGCCCATATTAGGATTGACGTTAATGGGCGGGCGGATGAGATTGCCAAGCGCGGCCTCTATCGGTCTTATATAGGTGGACTGCCCTGCATATATTAGGCGATCACTTAGGTCCGTTAAGCCCCCTATTAATTTTGATCGCTGGAATCATTCCGAGCTATTTGTGCAATCTATCAACCTTCTTTAACTTTTTAATTTAACACCCACAGGCGCGTATGAAGTAGTTATCCGCACCATACTTTGTAAATTTATTTATAATATATACAGAAATTATAAGAACTGTCTAGAACCATCTCCTGCAAAAGATATATTTACATAAAAATGTTTCGAAGCATTGCTAAGGTGCCATTTCAGAAGTGCAACATCAACTCTTGGCCTGATTACTCAATGTATGAGATTCTTGTCAAACTCCATCGTAGTAATTTAAAGTCTTTTCTTTTTTCTATAGTAAAATTATAATTAGCTATTCATGGATGAATCGCCCTAACCTGGCAATGTAAACTGATCAAACCTAGTTTAGATCTTAATATGATTGATGAGTTTACAATTTTTTTATCCCTCGTCAAGTTTATCTCAAATTTGGTAGCAATTCTCAAGTAATATAAAAATTATCTTCCAAATTGATCGAATTTCATCAAATTACTGTTTAATTTAATATAAAAAAATCACTCATTTCAATTTACATAAGTAAGAACACTTCAGTGCAACACGGCCCACAATTGAACACCACTTTGTTTTCACTAGCATTTTTCTTTGGACCGAATCTGTCCTTGTACTACATTTCATGAAAATTTCTCGAAAATTGTAATCTTCAGGTTGAACACAAGAAAACAAGACGGACAGACAGGGAAGATTATCGGTATGAAAAAGATGTAACCATCTCAAGTTCTTCTGGGTGTTGCATAAATCGCAATTAATGTAGGGTACAAGAAAGAAAATATCTATATATAAATGCAAATATACCGTCTTCTTAGAGACGTTTGCAAGCATAACAAATAAAAAGCCTATTATGTTCATCGTAACTCACTCACTCACTCATCTCAAGCAGTTATACAAAAAGTTCACAGCTCTTTAATCAAAATCGTCCATATTCATTTCCCTTCCGCACATTAACGTAACTTCTTGAAAATGACCGTAACGCGAAGTGAATTGCTAGCAGGACAAGAGTATGTTAAGTTACTTTTGATGTAGGCAACACTCAGAGGTGCTTGTGATAGGTCTACCTTTTATGACACCGATGGATTCGGAATTACTTTCAGAATCACTTTGTGAATCGATATAAGCATATCCGTTTGTCTGTCTTCCGTCTTGTTTTCTGGTTATTTAATTTGCAATTTTTCCGAAAGCCAAACGCTATTGAAAACGTTTCGGGTCAGCTCATTTTCCCGATCAATTCCCATTAATCATCTTAGTTTGAAAAGTCTTTATATGAACAACTACAGGGCCCACTACGATCCTTTTATTTATTCCCATTATCACGTTAGCTCTTTCTGTTGTTTTGGAGTCTGGAAAATTCCAGTGAAAATTATGTAAACGGATGTATAAACAAACGAACGAAATGGCAAATCACGCAGATTAAGAGTAATGGAAGACACAACGCTGAAGAGGCGACAAAATCATCAACATCCTATATTTTCCTAATAATGCAAGAATAGAAAGCTATAATAATAAACTCTTATACAGAGATATCGAGCGAAAAAATCAAAGTAGCGCAGAAGTTAGCTAACTGGGATGAAAAACATAAGTGTATATTTTTACGCAAGATGTTTGTATTGCGAAAATAACTAAAGTATCGCAAAAAAAAAAAAAAAAAAAAAAAAAAAATGAAAGTAGTGCAAAAGCTAAAAAAATAAAGATACATTTTTAGGCCAGAATTTTGTATCGGGAAATTACCTAAGGTTTTTAATAAAGAAAGCGTTTATTATATGCTAGAAAAATTCACTTTAGTGATGTCCTTGAATTTTTTATATGGACAGACGTTCATTATCTTTTACAGAAAATTGTGGTTCCCAAAAAACGGACTCGAAAATGCTCGTTGCAAAGTAACTAATACATACACATAGGCAAAGACGTCATGGAACTATTGTACATAAATTAACAAAGCATCAAGGTAGTTGAAAAAGCTCTATATACACAGAATTGAAGAGAGCTTCGTTCGATTTGGAAAAAAATATACAATCAACCTTATACTCACTCATCTAGATATTTACGTAAATTTCTCTCTCACAAGAAAAAAAAAATATTCTTTTGCGACATGCGCTTTATGATAGATACTGCATACATTTACTGTTTGCCCAGTTATGTATTAAAAAAAAATCAATTTAGCTCAAATGTGTATAGATATATATGTACATGGTAGGTAAAGTAGTAAGAAAAAATAAAAAAAAAAGAAGATAAAATCTCCGGAATACATGATGAGATAATATCCCAGCATATCCGTTTTACTTTGCTAGCAGAGGAAAGAGAACGGTATGGGGTAAATTTTGTTTTTGTTTTTCACTGAAAACTCGACGATAATAGCGTGTATTTGTTGCTCTGTCCTTTAACTGAATTAGGAATATATACATATATATATATGCAGAGAACAAATAAAAAAAATGTTGTTCTATGTTTACATGGAGTAGGCAAAAATATAAAGTAAATCATGAGAATTTACTGTAAAACGTTTTTATGTAACAGAGTGAGTGTACGCGCAGCAGTCTGCTACTACCCCTGAGCAGAAGTAAATTTCTCTACAGCGTTCTGCTTATGTAAACATAAGAGTGATTCAGGGAATAAATTTTAGGTAAAGTCTTTTGATTTTAAGTAAAATACTACATTTAATATCTATATAAGGATATCTAGCGCTTATTAAACTTTTGCAAAATATAACAGGTTCAAAAAAAGCAACTTTGACAATTGAAAGACCTGCAGGAATTTCGATGTTTTGAAAAAGTACTCTCGTGTTTAT